AAGTTAAAGTACCAACACAGGACACCCTGCCATTTGACTACAAAGGTGGGTTCTTCTTAATAATGTGGAATCCTCCTACTGTTATTAGAAAACTGTGACTCAGGCAACGGTTTCAGGGATGCTTTAGGGTCAAATCGTGTCCTTACAATAGGAAGAAAATGAGCGGTTATCGGTGTGGCATGCCAGGTGGTATGTTCATCCGATTGTCTTTTTAGCAGACTATGTGGTTTATTTTGGCAACTATATCAGATGACTATTTTCTATAAAGTCAGGGTGCATTAAAAGAAGAATTAGTGGGACAGTAGCACACCGAGGACCCCATTGTTCTAATGGGTTACCTTATGCAGAAATTCTTCTGCTTCCGAACAGGCTATATTCCCAAGGCTGTTGTTCAATCTGTTTAGTGTAGGTGACCGCAGACACACGCTCTCTCTGGGTTGCAGGTAGCACACACTCGCTTTTGCTCTGGTACGTATTTTGTCATCAGCCAGGAAGTTCAGAATTTGAGATTTAGACGGAGAAGCTTCTATACAGGTGTCAGGCCAGACCCTAAAATGGTGGGGAAAAAAACAGGGGTTAGGGGCAAGGAAAGATGGAGGTTTTTATTTTTCCTGGGACTTCTCAGCACTGCATTGGTGGTTTTGACTCTCTATATCTCTAAATGCCACCTCAGGCTCTGTCTTACTGCAAATCAGAAGGAAGAAGGGAAGGCGGTTGCTAAGACACAGGATTGTTACCAAGGAAGTTACAGTTTCCACACACCCCCGGACCCCATACACACACCCAAGGAGGAAACCAATCTGCTTCCCGGCTTGTTCTCACTCCAAACTGCCAAAAAGCTGTATCACAGCTTTCTACTTGCTCTAGCCACGGCCAGAAGTGCTGATAGCAGATATTTTGAGTAAATTTAAGTAGATGCAAAGCTGACAGGCTCTGTCTTAGATTTCAGGAAGAAAATAGTTTACTTTTTAAGCCCTAATAATTTTTGATCATTTCTTCTCAATTCAGCAGCAAGGCGCATATATGTCTAAAAACATGATGCATCATACATGTTTATAAGATATAAACTGGAAATAAGTACCGCTGGGTAAATGAGTCTAGCTAGTTCTTTTCCTTAGAGCCAAAACTGCTTATTCAGTCAATCCTCTCATGATCTGTTTCTATTCATGCAGGCTTTATTTAGTCTGAAGCAAAGTTGGAAGATATATACAGCACTGTTTACGTTAATATTATATTAAGAATTTTGTTTACCCACATGGGTATGTGCCACGGAATTTAAATTGCTTTCAGGAAGAAAAAGGAAGGAAGGGAGGAAGAAAGGGAGGGAGGGAAGGAAAAGAAAAGAGAATTGGAGTTGTGGCTAAAACCTGCCATTTTTGCTTACACCATTGTATTCATTCTGTCTCAGGCATTTCAGCACTCAGCAAAGTCGAGGAATCTTTTTCTTCAGAGTCTTTGACATCTCTATAGTCATGGACCACATAGTGAGATTTTGGTCAGTGATGGACTGTATATATGATAGTGGTCCCACGATATTATAGTACTATATATTTACTGTACCGTTTCTATATTTAGACGTGTTTAGAAACACAAATAATCACCAATGTGTTACAAGTGCCTATAGCAGTGGTCCCCAACCTTTTTGGCACCAGGGATTGGTTTCATGGAAGACAATTTTTCCTTGGACCAGGGGTTGGAGGGATCGGTTTTGGGATGATTCAGGTGTGTTACATTTATTGTGCACTCAAACCTCTCTGCTAATGATAACTGTATTTGCAAGCGCTCCCCAGCGCTAGCATCACCGCCTCAGCTCCACCTCAGATCATCAGGCGTTAGAGTCTCATAAGGAGCCGCAACCTAGATCCCTCGTGTGTGCAGTTTACAGTAGGGTTCGCGCTCCTATGAGAATCTAATGGTGCTGCTGATCCGACAGGAGGCGGAGCTCAGGCGGTGATGCGAGTGATGGGGAGCGGCTGTAAATACAGATGAAGCTTCGCTCACTCACCCACCGCTCACCTCCCGCTGTGCAGCCCAGTTCCTAACAGGCCACGGACCAGTACTGGTCCTCTGCCTAGGGGTTAGGGAGCGACCGCAGGCCTGCAGTATTCAGAACAGGTTTGTAGCGTAGGAGCAATAGGCTGCACCACATAGCCTAGGTGTGTAGTAGGCTATCCCCTCTAGGTTTGTGTGAGTCCACTCTGTGACATTCACACAACGAAGAAATCCTCACGATGCATTTCTCAGGACCTGTCCTTGTCATTAAGTGATGCGTGACTGTGCTTGCAATGGGTCCTGAAGAGATTTGAAGCCCTTTAATTTCCTGGGACTCCTGTATTGAATTAGTTACATTATTGGTATTCTGATTAATCATAATCAAGAAAGATGCTGGGAGACAAAGTAGCAAAATGGTTAAGAGCAGAAACTCAGAGTCAGACAGCCCTTTCTGGGCTTGTGTCCTTTTTGTTATGACTGGCAGGTTACTTACATACTACCTTTCAGTTTCTTCACTGTTAAAAAAAAAAAAATCCTGGACATTTGTGAGGATCAAATAACATATATAAGGCACCTAGTACAGTGCCTGGAACATGGTAAGTGCTCAAAAAACTGTCAGAAAGCAAAAACAAAATAAAAAATCCCCACTTCATTAGCGCAGAATCGTAGCACTCTATTTCTGAAAGGACTGTGTATCACCTAGTCTGGCGGTTGGCAATTTTTTTTCCCGTAAGCTAGGGTTCTTTGAACAGAATATTATGAAGAACCTGATGTATCAAAGAAATAAAAGCAGAGCTGGGACCGGGTGTGGGGAGAGAAGTGGGCAAAGCTCCGCCATTGTCTCCTCCTGTCCTCACTCCCTTGAAATATCTCGCGGCATCTGACGTCTCTCTTCCAGAGCACGGTTTGAAAACCAGTTGGCAGTCTAGTCCAGTGCCACCATTTCGCCAATAAGGGAGTGGCCCAGACACATGAGTTGCTTTTTCAGTGTTATGACAGGAGCTGCAACCTAAATTCCTGTTATAGACGCTGCCCCTACAGCACAGAATGTGGGACTATATGGCGGAGCTATACCGAGAAACTATAAAAGCTCTAGAGCTTTAGTTCACTATATGTGAACCTTTTTCCCCTATAGTAGATGACAATCTTTTGGGTGGCCCATTTCCATTTTCAAGTTTATTTTTCAACTGTTGTCACTTAAAGCATTTCCTGTGAGGTTCCAGTACCTTCTATCAGTCTTCAGGACAAATAGCAGCTGTATAGATTTCCATAAAATTTGACTGGAAACAACTTGACCCTTCTCCTGCACCCCCTACCTCTGCCTCCTGTGGTCCTGCGCGACGCTAAGTAAAACGCCGTGATCTCCAAATGTTTTCGCGTTCGGGGTATTTTACTTCAACCTCTTGACCAGAGTGTTCTCTCAGGCTTATTAGCGCAGTTCAGAAATGTAAACAACGAAGCTGACTCAATGTAAGTTTGAAGTCAATGTATTTTCTTTTTGAGATAAGGCTGTGTTTGTACAAACAACCCCAGACTATTTGGAAAAGAAAAAAGATGTAATGCAGTTTATGACCGCCACGTATTTCCAAACGTGGCTGGTTTCCTGTTGGGTTATTCCTGTGTCTTTGTGTTCTTGGGGCAAGTTTAAGGTCTTTTTATTTACTTTTGGAAAAGAAGAAAGTTGAGTTCAGAAGGCCAGGGCTTGGCGCCCGCTCTGAGTTAGGTGGCTCAGAACTCTGAGCTGGGCAGTTGGATGCAAAGGGGAGGCAGGATTCTTAGTCGCCACGAAAGTTGACCCAGCGTCCTGGTTTGCACCGATCACCCGAGCTTCTAATTACTCGTGCGCATGCCCACGTCTCCTCTCTGCTGGGAGCAAAGACATATCCTTTAAATCTCTCTCAAAGGTCTCTACATCCTGGTCACTGCCTAGCTCAGAGTTAGTGCTTGAAAAATATTTATTGACTGACTGTCCAAGGTGTAAACCACGCAAGTTGAAAAGCTTCATTACATTGGATTCCTATCTACATTAAAGGAAAATACATATTGTGATAGTATTCTACTGATCTGAAAGAAATTTCTAATTGAAGGAAAGAGCATTATTAGGACAAAGGTAAAAGACCCCTTTTGGGTGGCTCATTTCCATTTGCATGTTTATTTTTCAGCAGTTTTTCTGGAACTATAGCTTTCAGTTTCTGGGCCAATAGAGCTAGACTGGAGACAAAATGAATTTAGTAACACATACATGTAAGAATTATTGAGGACTTAGCCTATGCCCGGCACAAATCTAAGAGCTTTATGTATCATGTCTCATTTAATCCTCACAATACTATAAAGCAGGCTGTTATTATCCCCATTTTACAGATGTGGAAACAAAGACTGACATCACCGGCTCACAGTAGTGGTAGGATTTGAACCCGGGCAGCATGACTAGAGCCCGTTTAACCATTAATGACTGCCTGACTGAGTGATGTGCAAACAGAGGAAAACACTGCATTTACCATAGTAAAACTGCAAACGTCTCAACAGCTCTTATTTCTTCCCGTTCGATTTAGTTGAAAGCTCTGATGTCCTGAATTTTCTGAGTTTTGGAGAAAGAGGAGAGAAATCCCTCAGGGTGTTAACCGTTTTTTTTCTTTTCTCTTGATGTGACAGAAAATTTCATAAATCACTGCTCTATTTAATTTTCTTAACAAATTACGTTTCTTAGAGCACATTTCTTTTGAGTTCCTCTAGACATTTCACAGATATTACCCAAATGATTTTACCACACCAGCATGAGGATGTTAAAGGTAAACATTATTCCCATGGGCATGAATGGAGAAACTGAGGCCCAACAAGGCCAAGTGGCTTGCCCAGGGTCCTGTCGGTCACTCCAGAGCGGGCCCTAAGCCCCAGCCTCCTGAGCCGTGCTCCGTTCCCTGTCCGCTGACACACTGACTCGTGTCTACCGCGAACATAAGTCTTCCACGTGCTGTGAAGCGGAGATGAGCCATCTCGTTCTCTTTCAGGTTTGTGGATGGCGCCTAGAAGACCTTGACTTGCTCCCCAGGAAATACCGTGTTACTGGGTTTCCCGTCACCCTGTTCCCCAGCTGACCATGAGCCAGCCGGACCCTGCCGACGACCCGGACCCCAGCCCCACGCCCCTGTGCACGGTGTGCGGCCAAGCCCACTCCCCCGAGGAGAGCCACTTCTACGTCTACACGGAAGACGTGGACGATGACCTCATCTGCCACATCTGCCTGCAAGCTCTGCTGGACCCTCTGGACACTCCGTGCGGACACACCTACTGCACCCTCTGCCTCACCAGCTTCCTGGTGGAGAAGGACTTCTGCCCCGTGGACCGCAAGCCTCTGGTCCTGCAGCGCTGCAAGAAGTCCAGCATCCTGGTCAACAAGCTTCTCAACAAGCTGCTGGTGACCTGCCCTTTCACGGAGCACTGCGCGGAGGTGCTGCAGCGCTGCGACCTGGAGCGTCACTTTCAAACGAGGTAGGTCCCTCTGGGAAGCCCTGCCCGCGAGGGGCAGCTGGAAGCCTCTGTCTGCCAGGGCCCGGGGGCCTCCAGTGCCCTGGCTGTTCCACCAGGTGCCTGTCTCTCTGTCTCCCTCTGTAACCGATGAGAGGATCCGTTCAAAACAAGCAACATTCTAGGTGTTTATGGCCAAGATTCAGTGTGAGGAAACAGCACTTAGTAGAGATGTGTTTATGGTCTTTGAAAAAAAATTATGGTAAAATACACATAGCATAAAATTTACCATTTTTAACTACTTTTGAGTGCACAGTTGAGTGGCATTAAGTACTTTCACGTTTCGTTACAACCATCGGCACCATCCGTCTCTAGAACTTTCTCATCTTCCCAAACGGAAACTCTGTCCCCGTTCAACGCTAGGTCCCCGCCCCGCTCCCCCAGCCCTGGACGCCACCACCCTGCTCTCCGTCTGCAGGAGTGTGGCCATTCTAAGTACGTGGTGTAAACGGAATCATGCAGAATCTGCCATTTGTGCCTGGCCCCCTTCCTATGCGTGTGCTTTGGAGACGCCGGAGAAAGCTGAGGAGCAGCTTTCTCTGAGGCCCCAGGAAGATTTCTTGGTGGGCATCGCTTGCTTTTTCACTTAAGAAAAAAAAAAAACAATCTCCCAGTTTGGCCCGTGATTATTAGAATTTCCTCCGTATAGGAACTGACAAAGCCCAACTGTTGTCTGAGAGTGTACGAGGTGTCTTCAAGTAAGTTTCCAAAGGAGAAATTGAGAAAACTCTGGTCCTCCAAGTGACTTGTCCTGCTGACTTTGCTGCCAAGTCACTAAGTTGCACGCACACCGGTGGCCGAATTATGGCTCGATCGCCGCCGCGGGTGGCTGACATCGCCTGCCCCGCCCGCCGCGTCTTACTTTGTCCTCCTGTGTTGTCATGTTCCCGGCGTTCTTTGTGTGACGGCCTCAGGGGCGGCCCTGGGTCCTGTTTCACACGAGGAGCTCTCTTCAAACATTCAAAGTGCTTAATAAAGGGGAACACTCATACCACAATTATTTTGTAAGAGGAAATTTGGAAGCTGGTGTTTGTCTTGGTTCCTGTCATGACAAGGGCGAGAGGCAGGTGCAGGCAATTTTTTTAAAGGCCACATACCTTAGGTCGTGAATCCGAGTCTTTGTCTTTTGGGACGTGCATGTATTCTCTGACATGGACATTTCCATCAAAAGCAATGGCTGGGGGGGTGCTTAGCACATGTTTTCCACGCGAGTGATGTCAGTGAGCTCATTTCTCTTCCCAAGATGTGGAACCAAATGCTTCTAACTCGGGTTTGTGGGTTGCAGCTGTAATTGCTGGTGTTTAAACTAGGACGCCTTGCCCCTCTGATCCCCCAGAAGAAGGTGTGGCCAAGGGAGAAGAGGGCAGGGAGTCTATTGGTGACCTTTGCTGAAAGTTTGACCAGGTGTGAGAGGTGTCACTGGGAGGGAAGTGGGTCTGGGGTCAAAGGTGAGGCAGATGCTAACAGGATCTGGTGCAGAGCCAGAGTCAAGACAGGACCACCCTGGACAGGGGCTGGGGGGAGCTCCAGGAGGACCGAGGGCCGTGGTACAGCTCCCTCCGCACTGAGCACATCCCCGTGTTCTGACGTGTTGCGGTCTACACGTTTGCAACACGGAGCTATAATCCCTGTTGCTGCTCTAACAAACGATCACAAACTTAGTGACTTAAAACAACCCAAATTTGTTCTCTCTGTTCTGAGGGTTAGAAGTCCAACACGGGGCTCACTGGATGAGCATCAAGGTACTGGCAGGGCTGCGTTCCTTTCGGCTCTAGGCTCCCTTTCCTTGCCTGTTCCAGCTGCCAGATGCTTCCCGCCTGCCTCAGTCTGTGGCTCCTTCCTCCATCTTCAAGGCCAGGCTGGAGCATCTTCCCTCTCCTCCTCCCTCACCTCTGCCTCCATCATCACCTCTCCTGTGACTCTGACCCACCTGCCCCCTCTTACAAGGACTCACGTGATTGGCCTGGGCCCCGCTGGGGAATCGGGGCGGCCCCCTCACCTCAAGGTCCTTAATTGAATCACACCCGCAAAGTCCCTTTTGCCATGTGAATGACATATTCGCAGGTCCTGAGGATTAGGAGGTGAATCTTAGGCAGAGGGGTCGTTGTTCATTATTCTGCCCACCACAGGAAAGAAGTTGGGGAGAGAAGGAAAGAATGGAGTCCCCCTCTGGGCAGGAGGGACTGATTTGGGGCTGCGAGTATCCCCAAAAACAGGGGTCGGATGGCACAGGGATCTGAGAGGAAGAGCAGAGTGGAGGGGGGAAGGGGGAAGGGCCGGAAGCGGCTGCCGGAGCCCCGTGGGGTCTTCAGGAGAGAGGACACATTCGTTCACCCACCGTCCACACAGCCCACGTGATCCACACACTTCAGGGAAGCCCGAGGAGAGGGCTTGAGAAACACGCAGCTGATAACGACATGCACGTTTGAAAAATAACAGGGAGGAGAGAATGCGCCAAACTGACGGAAACCGAGTCACCCCCTTGAGCTGTGGCCTCTTCACGGGCCCCGTCAGCAGCTCGCGGAGCGGAGGCCGCCCCGTCTCGTGGGCCTCCACGCCTGCCCCCAGCCCGCCACCCTTCCGCTCCCTAAGTAGGGTGAAACCAACGGTTCCAAAAATACATCGCGTGTATTAGTCATCAGATGCCTGATACATGCTCTCTCCCTTCCACCCCTGCGTGTTTTGTTGGCAGGGATTAAGAATTCGAAGCTATTCCGGAAGGGACTCTGGATTCCTCTTGGGCCTCTAGGACCAGTAGACCCCCTCTTCCTCCTGTGAGAGGGGATGTTATGAGACTAAATCATTAACGCCTCTGGAGGGCCTGGAACTGGGAAAACTAAGGTTGCCAGGAGCAAGGGTTTCCCTTTTCTGTACGAGGCCTTCAGGCTGGTGGCTGCTTGTGTGGGAGTCTTGTCGCACGCGCGTGCTGGAAGATAGCTTTTGTTTATCGATTTTGCATTTGTTTGCTTTATGTTTAATATCGCTTTATTCGATAAATATTCTGTGAACAAAATAGATAGGTTTTTAAATTTTCATTTTTTAACTGACAAATAAAAATCGTATATATTTATGGCGTACAAACTGCGGTACCCAACCCCCGAGCCGTGGACCAATACTGGTCCAAGGCCTGTTAGGAACTGGGCCGCGCAGCAGGAGGTGAGCGCAGCTTCATCTGTATTTACAGCCACTGCGCATCGCTCGCATCACCGCCTGAGCTCCGCCTCCTGTCAGCTGTGTCGCTAGATTCTCATAGGAGCTCAAACCCTCCCGTAAACTGCGCATGTGAGGGATCTAGGCTGCGGCTCCTTATGAGAATCTAACACCTGATCTGAGGAGGAGCTGAGGCGGTGATGCTAGCGCTGGGGAGCGGCTGCAGATACAGATTATCATTAGCAGAGAGGTTGGACTGCACCATAAATGTCATGCGCTTGAATCATCCTGAAACCACCTCCCACCCCGGTCCGTGGAAAAATTGTCTTCCATGAAACCGGTCCCTGGTGCCAGAAAGGGACCACAGGTGTACAACATGATGTTTAGAAATATGTTTAGAAATACATTGTGAAATGGCTAAATCAAGCTAATCGATGCGCATTACTTCACGTACTTACTTTTTGTGATAGAAACATTTAAAATCTACTCTTAACTTTCAAGTATACATTATATTATTATCTATAGTCACCATGTTCTCTAATAATCTCCTGAATTTATTCCTCCTGTCTAACTGAAATCTTGTACCCTTTGTCCAACAGTAGACTTAAGTCAGTCATCCTGTCTTTAAACAAGTCCTTCCTGTTTTGTCCAGAATTCCTATCATTCGTAAACAATGTTATCCAGCTACTTCAGAACCTGAGTTGGATATAAATTCTTTTTTTTTTTTTTTTTTTT